CTGTTTACGATGCAGCTGTTTTTCCCATCCTTAGAAAGCAACGTTTTTTGTAACTAGGGACCCCAAAGATAATAAAAAGAGAGGAGCGGACAGATGGTTTTCAGAGCGGTGGAGATTTGTAACTGAAGCACATCTCTGTCCGTTCTCCTCGCAGCGAGAAAGAAACTAATTCTTTGTCTTTCTCTTCTTTTTGTGATGTTATAAGTATTTTAGGTTGTTTGAAACTGACAAGAACAGCAAACAGCTTTTAGAGACCCAGACATAACAGAGACTGAGTCCAATCCTTGATCCATCAGCTTCCAGAACCTTTCAGCAGTGGTTCCTGCTGCTGTGGAGAGGTTCTATCCACTCTTCTTTGCTTTGGTTCTGCTCAGCTCTCTGAAGCTCCTACCACAGCATGCCAGTTAGGTTCGGGTCTGGACTTTGACTAGACCATTGCAAGACCTTGATTTTTTTCCTTATTTTTGTTTATCTGAAACAAGCCCAAAGCATCAGCCCTCCACCACCATGCCTGACAGTTGTCATGAGGTACTGAAATGCCCATCTTTGCTGAACTGTCAGCACAGGCGTGTGACTCACCTGAGTGATGTCTGTTGGAACAGACTCAGGAGTTCATCAAACCGACCTCGTAGATGGCTGAACCCTCCGTCACGGCTCAGACTTGTGCTGTCTGACGAGTCACCCTGGAACATGTGTCTGAGAGCAGCTCATTGGGACTAGAGCCAAAGAAAGCCCGGTTTAGGTGAACAAAGACAGGTTCCAGGTGGGAGGTGGCAAAGTGATGACATCATCTCTATGCTACCTGATACATGACACCATCACCTGCATGTTTTCTAAGATCTCATAGAAATAAAGGAGAAGCAGCTCATGTTGGGACTCTGAATGTGGTTCAAAATACTTGCTAGAACTATGAACATGAACTGATGCAGTTTTAAAATGTGGAGCTGAACTGGGAACTGGACTGGTGTGTGTGTTGATCAGCTGCTGCAGAGTAATTGAACTCTTTGTGTTTTGCTTCAGTTGCACAAACTTGGAAAATGGTAAAATAAACTGTTCCTTCTTGCTGACCAGCCAATCAGCTGCTGTTTGTAGTGGTTACCGTGACAACACAACTGTCACCCCCACCTGAGCTTTTTGTTTTTTTCTGTTGTAGTATCGAAGCACCTCATCTGTAGTACTGAGGTGTCTGTGGTCTGAACATGATGTTCTCTGCTTCACCTCCATTTCCTGTTCAACACACACACACATTTATATATATGGATCTCCTTTTCTTCAGAACTACCCAAATTCTTCGTTCCTCAGTTATTCTGGTCCATGTAGACATGATGACATCACTCAGTTGTTGTCAGCTGAGCATCCATGATCAGAACCTTCTGTTCCACACATCCAAAGATGTTCTGTTGGACTGAGACCTGCAGGCAGTGAAGACCACTGGAGTTCAGTGTCATTTTCAGGAAACTGCTCTGAGATGACCTGAGCTTTGAGACATGGAGCATTATCCTGCTGGAAAGAACCACCAGAAGATGGGTCCACTTTGGTCAATCAGAGATGGAGATGGTCAGCAACAATACTCAAAAACTCTGCAGTGGTTAAATGATGCTCAGTTGGTTCTGATGGGCCCAAAGTGGGCCAAGATAATATCCCCCATCCCATGTTGCCACCACCAGCCTGAACCGCTAATACAAGGCAGGTTGAAACCATGCTTTCATGTTGTTTACACCGAGTTCTGACCCGACCATCTGAATAGTGCGGCTGAAATCCAGACTCTTTGAACCAGGAAACATTTTTCCAACCTGTTCTGGTCCGGTTCTGGTGAGTCTGTGTGGTTTAGCCTCAGTTTCTTGTTCCATCTGACAGGGCTGGTACCTGATGTGGTCTTCTGCTGCTGTAGAACAACTGAGGTTTCACATGGTGTGTGTTCAGAGATGGTGTTCTGCAGATCTTGATTGGAACCAGTGGTCATCTGGAACCAGTCGGCCCATTCTCCTCTGACCTCTGACCTCAACAAGACATTTTCCTCCTATCAGCTGCTGCTCTGTGGATATGTTCTCTTCTTCAGACTATTCTCTGTTCTGGGTGAAAATCTCAGCAGATCAGCAGGTTCTGAAATACTCAGAAAGACCAACAGCCATGCTACATTTAAAGTCATGTCTGACCCGGTTACAGTCTCACAAAACATTCTTTTTTACTGGGTTTGTTTTTATCTGAGCAAAGTCAAGCTGAGTTTTGGACTCTGGTCCATCAGCATCAGAACTGTTCTGATTATCGATCACTTATTGTTTACCAGGTCGGACTCTGGAACACTGTGTTCTCTCGTGCTCAGCTACCACTGTGTGTCAGTCTGCGGTCGCAGCTTGTCATGCAAGGCCGCTCAGTGTGAACAGCGCTGGCACGCGATGCTGCGTCTCACACACACTTCCTGCCCTCAGAGGAAAAAACAGCCTGTTCTTCTGCTGCTGCTGCCGCCAGAGACGGTTGTCATGGCCACCACCTCCTCCTGGCAGTGGCTGGTTCTGCAAATGCACAGACCGAGTTCTGAGACCACTAAGGTCAAAGCTCACACAGCAGCCGTGGTGTTGTTCAGGGTTAGGCTTGAATCGTGAGGGCATGTCTAGATTGCAGGGAACATTCATGGTTAAAAACTAAGATGATCAGCAGCACAGTAACAATATTCCAATAATCATTACAACATGGTAATGGATGAGCGGTTTATCATCACTCTGAACCGATCGTGTTTTATATTAATATTAGGACATGAAACAACGTTGGACAAATCTCCAGGATCAGATGGTTTAAGGGGACATCTTCTCTTCTCCACATTAAAAGAAACACTCAGGTTCTCAACAACCTGTTCTCACATTTCTTGTTAAACATGGAAACATCCTGAAGCTGGCTGGACTTCCCACCAACAGACTGGTTCCACTGACTGATCAACTGGACCTGCTAAGGATCCCAGAGTACAGGATCTATCAGACCAACTAAAACCAACCGAGGGTGACAGGTTGAAGGAACAAACAGACCAGTAGGTGGCGCTGATGGAAGATCTTCAGCCAAGTTAAATTTCTGAGATGAAATTTTAAAAATAGTTTATTTCACAGGAGAAGACGGTCCTGATAGTTTTGACTGTATTCTTGGTTCTACTCTGAGTTTGGATCATTTCTCTTAGGTTCTGATGTTGTTTGTGGGTTCTAGAATGACTGTTAACGCAGGCTTTAATTTATAAATGTTATTTCTGCCTGAACAGACGGCAACGTCATGTTTGGACCGGGTCCTACAGATAATCATTGAGAATTGTCTGGTTATCTTTATGTTGGACATGTATGTTTTTATCTTCTGTATTTGAGTCTGAATGTGTGTTGCTGCTGATATCACGTTATGATCCTGGTTAGCTGGTACCAGACCTGCTGCTGTTCTGCGTTCATAATGTTGGAAAGTCAGAAATAAAGTTTTTCAATGAAAACCAATCAGCTTGCAGCTGATGTCATCTTCCAAACTCTTTTTCATTGGCTGTCAGCCACAGCCACTTGTAGTTGGGTCAGTGATCCCAGAGTGGGCTGTTTGACTGTGACTGAGGTTGGGTCGTGTTGGATCGGGTGCCCTCTCTCACCTACAGAGTTTGGGGCCAACTCACCGTGCAGACTCTGTGACAACAGAAGATTTGTGAACAAAATCATTTTTCGTTGCTACCTCATTTTAAGAAGAAATGAGCTGATAGTGTAGGGGTTAAAGCACGCGACCATCTGCAGTCCTCAAAGCAGCTGTCCCGGGTTCGAGTCCCGGGTTCGAGTCCCGGACGCAGCAACATTTGCCGAATGTCTCCCCCTCTTTCCTGTCTGCCTAATGTCAATAAAAAAGGGCACTAGTGCTGAAAAAATATCTTAAAAAAAAAAAGAAACGAGCTGCATCAGATTTGCTGAATGAGCAACTAATAAGATTTGATAAAGAACTGGTTTGTTCTTAGCAGTAACAGGGTCAGGAGGTTCTGCCTGTTGCCTTTTCCTCAACTTCTACTTTATTCTGTAACAGAGAAGAAAAATGCAGTTTTTCCTCCAGCTGACTGATTTTCCTGATGAGAAGCAGTCAGTGGGACCCTGGATCAGACTGCTGCAATCTCTGCCAGCAGCATAGAAATATTGTCAGACACATAATCAGGTTTTATTAATGATAATAACAAGCTTTATTGTTATTATAATCTTGGATACAATAAAATGTTGTTGCCAAAAATCCAGGAGCAGAAACAAATAATTAAAAGGACAGATTATAACTACAAAAATATTATGCATGTTAAAAATATAATATCTACAAACAGATAATAAAGTGCTATTTTTCAGCAGACCAGGACACTGCACAGAGTGGAGATAGTAGCATCTGTGTGGGGGTGTGTTTTCCCGTTTGTGCAGCTGACTCAGGACTCAGGACATTTTCATGGTCCTCACTTGCTTTTTTGCCAGAGGTTAGGTTTAGGAGTAAGGGGTGAATTGAGTTAAGCTTAGGCTTATGGTTATGTATGTTCTGGTGGGGTTAAGGTCAGGGTCAGGGTCCGGGTCAGGCCGTAGAAAGGGTTGAAAATGAATGGAAATCCATGGAAGTTAATGAGAGTCAATGCAAGGTCCTCACAAGATATAGTAAGAGAAAAGTGTGTGTTTTAGGTTTTTCTTTCTTGTTCGGTTCATAGTTTCTCCTCCATTAAAGATGAGGTCTTTCTTTTATTTTTACATTCATTCAATGTTTCACAGAACTATTGAAGTTTGGAGGAAAATGTTTCTCAAGGACAACGAGCTCCATCTCCCTACTCCATCTCCCCCAACTAAAACAGCAGGAGGTCTACTCCCTCCCTCATCCAAACACTTTGGGGTCCGAACATTTTAAATCCAGAGACAAAAATATTTATTTAACATTTAACACTAGAGTTTTAACTACTGATCCATTATTCATCTGCCCATGAAATCATCTGCTGAACAGATAAGAGCAATCCAATTAAGCACCAATATTAAACACACTTTGAATGGCTCAGTCCAGCTGGGTCAGAACATCTAGGAAGAACAGTTCTGCTCTCCTTGTTGTTCTGGTGGCAGGCAGGGCTATTCGCTGAACCTTTTCCTTAAGTGGTTGTCTTTCTTTTCCATTTTAAAGTGTTTCTGCCACAGCTTCCAGGCACTCTGTGATCATTTCCCAGTCAGTAAAAGGCTTGTTGGGTTTTCCTGAACTCCACGGTCCTCTCAGCGAACCCTCTATGCTCGCTGCTGAGCTGTAAGAGACCGTATGCGTCTGTCCATTCATCTTTAAATGTGTGACTTTCCACTTTACGTATTTTTGATGAAGCCATCTTCTTTTACTCACTCACATGTGACCCAGTCATTGTACTGTCAGCAAGCTGAGCTCCCAGCAACCCGCCTTGAAGGACCCTCTTAGCTTCTTCTTTGTTTTCTGGTGGTTGGCGAACAACGATGTGGTGCATTACTGCCACCAGCTGGCTGGGAGTGTGGACCAAAATGTCACTGACCTAGACAGCTGCACCCAGCAGGAATAAAATGTTTATATCTACGTAGTAAATGAGAAAATGCTTTGCGATTAAGGTAGCAGCAGCCCTGACTGAAGCAGCTCATTGTGCAGCCCGGGGCCAGACGCTCTGCAGGGCTACACCACGAGATGCGGCGCAACATGCAGTAATATATAAATGTTTAAAACCAGGTTGGGTCCGGATGGGACGGTCCGCTAATCCGTGACCTCTGATATAAACCGCAAAGCAAAAAGAACAAACAGCAAGGAATGACCGGGGTATGGCAAGACCTCTTTAACAATTATAAACAACGCAGAACCAATCAGAAAACAAGCTCAAATGGTGATCGATCGACCACTGTGTGTTCTCAGGGTTAGGGTTACATAACCCTAACCCAGGTGGACATGTTTCTGAGGGAATATGAAGTGGATACCAACAAGATTGATGACGATTGTAACAGAACTTGTGATAGAGTAATTAATCTAAAAGAAGTTCAAGACTCTATTTGCTCTCTCAAGGATAATAAATCCCCTGGTAATGACGGCATAAGCTGTGATTTCTATTAACAAGGAATTTGACCGTTTTTAAAAAACAGGTTTGAAGAATCAATACTAAGAGGTGAATTACCTCCAACTCTCTAAAAAGGATTTATTAAACTTATCCCAAAACTCAAAAAAGATAAACTGAATATTGAAAATTGGAGACCAAGTAGTATTCTAAATAATGATGCTAAAATGTTTGCAGTTATTTTTGCCTAACAACTGAAATTAGACTTAAGTGACATTATCAGTGAAGAGCAATCAGGATTTATGCCTGGAAGGAACATTAGAAACAATATTCTACTAATACTGGACATGATTGACTATAATGAATTTATTCCCGATGACAGCTATATTCTGTTTATTGATTTCTATAAGGCTTTTGATACCATAAGTCATACATTTATGTTTAAATCTATTAAATATTTTGGATTTGGAGACTATTTCTTGAAAGCTATTATTTCTATCAGGGAAATAATAGCTTTAATATCATAACAGCTCAGTCAAACTGGCGCATGGGACGATGAAAAGATTTAACATTAATCGTGGAATTAGACAAGGTTGTCCTCTAAACCCATTCTTATTTCTATTAGTTACACAGATTATGTCTGTCCATATTAAAAAAAGTCAATTTCATGGTATTTCAGCTTTAAACAGACCAGCGGCCCCGGATTCATTTTAGAGGTGGGGGCTGTGGGGTTGTTGCGTCACACAAGGTTGGTGCCTTAAGGGCCGTTTTTAGGGTCTTGATATACTGGGGGCTTTAGTCCAGAACCCTCCTTCGTCCTGTTCTCGCTTTAAAAGTTGCCCTTTAGAGTCTCTGTTTCTGTATTTTGACCACTATGTTTATTCCTCCCGCTACCTGCTACCGCGGTCAGGTGAGCCGGCAGTCAGAAATACGCGGTGACGTCAGCCGACTCCAGCTCTCTCTTAAAGATTAGCTCCGCCCATACAAGCTGATTTACGGTAATGGAGCAGAAAGGACCTGATCCTGGCGACGGCTGAGAGAATAAGAGGAAAACAGGAAAGTAACCTTCAGAACATTTTTATTAATGACATTTTTACAACTTTCACATTCATGTTTTAGGAAAAAAAAAAATGTAATAATTTCACTGAGGATGTTTGGTGAGATAATACCTACTAATGCTCACCAGTATAGGGATTTGTGTCACTTTCAGGAATGTATTTCTCCAAACTCATGAGAGGTGACAACACAATCTCTTCAGATTATATTAAAGGGTCATCTATACTATAACCACAATAAATATTTCATCATTTTACTGTAGAGTTTTGGAGAAATAACGGGTCAAAGTACCTCAAAATGCTCATCCAGTATCCAACATCTGACACTAGGGTGGTCAGTGGATTACTGGAGGTCCAGGAGGACTGAACTCGCTCTTCTCTATGTATGACCCGTTATTTCTCCAAAACTCTACAGTAAAATTATTAAATATTATTATTTTTTTTACATAAAACATTTATGTGAAAGTTGTAAAAATGTCATTAATAAAAATGTTCTGAAGGTTACTTTCCTGTTTTCCTCTTATTCTCTCAGCCGTCGCCAGGATCAGGTCCTTTCTGCTCCATTACCGTAAATCAGCTTGTATGGGCGGAGCTAATCTTTAAGAGAGAGCTGGAGTCGGCTGACGTCACCGCGTATTTCTGACTGCCGGCTCACCTGACCGCAGTTACCTGCTGAATGGGGCTCACCTGGTCTCAGTATAAATGATGAGACCGGACAAGCGGTTCCCAAAGAAGACGCTTTTTCTTCAGCCTTTAGGAACCAGTGAACCCCAGACCTTACAGGGCTGTGCCTATTCTCATACAATCTAGGGTTATGTAACCCCAGATTCGTAAGAGAGAAGCGTAAAGGCTTCGAGTGCGTAAATACGCAGTCAGAAGCACGCTGCGCAAATGAACAGGGAGGATAAATAACCTCATCAGGGTGGAGGCTGACCTGCTGCTGTTAACAGTGACGACGCAGCTTAACTAACTGTAACCGTCCAGAAAAGCAGGAGCAGAACATGACAGAAGGAGAAACATCAGCAGCTGGATCATAATGACGCAGCGCAACAACCTCCTGCAGAGCTGAGCGCATCTGTTCACGCCACGGGAAAACACGCAGCGCCAGAACAGCTGTGGTTCTCACTGAGTCCACAGGAGGATCCGAGGTTAGGAGAGGACGACTTCCCTCAGTCCACGGTCGAAGACGCTCCTTTGTGGTTTTGATCCAGAACCTGCAGCCTCTGGATCGGGTCACAGTTCCTCCTGGAACCCATGGAGGAGCCGCAGGAGCAGCGGAAAATAAAAAAATATTTTAGAAAATCAAATTTGACCTGATATTAAATATTCAGTTTTTCTTGCTGTCGTACTGTTGAACAGTATAGAATGAATTAAAGGATAATTAAAAGCTTTTAATTAAAGCTTTTAAAAACATCAGTTTCTATATTTGTACATCTAAGGGCTTCACCAGTCATGGACCTCACCTCATCTAAAATATCCCAGCAAATACCAAATATGTTCATGTGACAGGCTATTATATCACAAATAATCCAACAACTATTTATTAAGAACAATCACTAGGCCTACATTGATACACGAACCGGTAGAATAATGATAAACAGGTGTTTTCTTTGTAAATCTGATTTGTCAGATGTAATATTTTCTTATTAAAATAAAGAAAATTAAAAAATAAAATAAAACATTGTCTTCTGTTTTGTCGTTATGTTGTTGAACAGTTTTTGCAGAACTTCTGCTGACAAAAC